GGCTGCTGAAGACGTGCAAATAAACCAAAAATGATGGGAACATGACTGAGGTTCATATCAATTGTGAAAAGAAAATTCAATCTGCTTTAAATGCCATTTACAAATTGTTTCAATCACACTACGCTCTAAGTTATTAGTGCTTAAAAGGTCATAGAAACATGAATTTTGAGATGGAAAATATCTTACGAATTATTCAAGGATGTAATTTGCATCTCGCCACTAATTTGCTGAGTGACACTGGGCAACTTGCTTAGCTTCGGTAGCCCTCAAGCTCCTCATTCAATCAGACAAGATGATCTCTCAGATCCTTCCTCCCATTCGAGGCTGTGTTCTCACTCATTTCTTTGTTGAAGAGAAGAAATATGAAGGACAGAGCACACGACAAGCCCAAGATCAAAGGGTGAATCTGTGGTAAAGCTAAGATTGAGAGCCTGTGACCTTTTCCATGGCACAGATTTTAAAGTCACACAAAGACTACACATGTGGCCAGCAGACAAGACTGTCCAGGTCAATGTCAGTTTTCTTATTAAGTGCTCGTGTCCTGAGAGCCAGGGACTCTGTCTTACTTTCTTTTATAAACTAACACAGTTGTGCATGGCTGGATTAAAGGTGTTTCATGAAATATTTATTGAGTTAATGGAAATGTTGATAAAATTAATAAAGTGAAAACACAGGTGACTGCATAACGGATTATGAAAATAAAAGCAGACACTACATGTTGAGTGTTGGCTATATATCAGGTATGATGCTGCGTGCATCTTAAATTTGATCCCCCCTCTCATTTTTACAACAACCTTTCAAAATAGGAATGGTTCCCTTCTTTTCATATATCTAACAATTGAGGCTTTACTGTGCTACATGACTTGTCTAAAGCCCTACAGATGATGAACAGACAAGGAAGGAGGTGAGCTGGTTCTGTCCGACTCCAAAGGATATTCCTATTTTACTCCAATCAGTAAATGCTTGAAGGAATGGAAAAACAAATGAGTAAATCAGTGACTGAATGAATTAATAATTCTGTTTTCACTCATCTTATGTGGTATGGGTGCTTGTTAAAGATTTTTCTTGCAGAATTTATTCAGCTATCACATAGGTGCCAGATTTTTATAAAATGTGTCATAATATGATTTACCCAGGATGGTCTTCTTAGAAGTCAAAGCCTGATCATTTAAACTGTTTGGCATTGTGTGCTGTGGGCTGGAGTGAGTAGTTCATGTGTGTTTTTTTTTTGTTTGTTTTGTTTTGTTTTTGGAGATATGAAGAACAGCAGTTGTCCATTCTGGAAAGGAGCACAGTGACACACTCCCATAACACTGCCAGGCCTTCCTTGAGGCCCCACTGAGGTCCTTCTTTGCCTTGGCCCTTGAATGTTGTGTGCCCGTGTTACCCACTAAGTTGATAGTAAATGTTTAATGATTGGCTTTCCAAAGATTTGTAATATCTACCAACTCTATTGTAGCCAATTTCCAAACTCTTCACATGGCATAACTGAGCAAGTATTAAGAAAAGATGCTCACAATCAGCTCTCAAAATCCCAGACCAGTCTGCACTAGCACATCACAAATTCAACTCCCCCATCAGTGCTGGGGGTGGGACTGATTGCTGAGATCTGGAGAGAAACACAACTGAGCCAGGAGATGGCATCTAGCCAGGAAATGCATGCCTGGGTCACATGAGCATTATGGCAACTATCTCTACTTCGGCAGCTGCATCTTCCCACTCTTCTTCCTCCTTGTCAGTTGGGAGGAGTGATCTGTCTTACTGACGCATCCCAGAGAGTGTAAGGCAGAATGGCCAATGTGTGGACTCTCTGTCTTGTTCTGGGCCACAGATCCCACTAACTCACCTTTGCCAAATCTAAAACCTGAGTTTATACAAAGATTGAGGGTTTAGTTTTTTCCATGACTTCTCTCTAATTCCAACCCCTGAAGAAAGGGAAGAGAGAAAGCAGCCAGCCTTGTTCTCTTCTGTACCACCAACACACTGTTCCTCCCAACAACTCGATACAAGTGGAGACCAACTTCCTTGCTTCAATGGCTCACACAGTGACTAAATCCCTTAGTGAGTCTCACAATCTTGGGATCCTGACCTTTCTACGGACTCTTTTCATCTTGCCTTTCCAGCTTCATCCATAATCACTTCCTAGTTCTCTGTCTTCACCTCATATCCAGCACATTTTCCATGTGCCAGTTCATGTGTGCTTCTCTCTCATTCCTAGAATCATTCTAAACTTTCTTCCAATCATAACACTGCCTCAGCTACAGCACCCTTCCTAGTAATACTCCCTACTGATTTTATAAGGCTCAGCAAAAAGGTCATCTTGTCTATGATGTATCTCCTGAAATTCCCCATCTAGAATACATTTCTCCCTGTTCTCTGGGCAGGAGGTACTTTGTTAATGCCCTTTCGTGATTTATAGCACATTGTGTCTTTCATAATAGCTATATATGAGCATGTTCTTTTTATCTCTGTGAAAATGTGAAATCCATGAAGGCAGGAACATTGTCCAATTTGTCTGTGATTTCCCACAGCCTATAACACCCAAACTTATGAGTTGTGGAATTAAGAAAATCTTGCTTGAATTGAATCTAACAAATTGAAGTAAATTTTGCAAAGTGGGTCTGAGTCGAGAACCGTGAATATAGTCAGGGATCCTCCATTCCCATCTCCACCCCTTATCTGTAGATAGTCCTGTCCATTTATGCCTTGAATGACTTGCAAAAGAAAGTGCTTTGATGAGCAGTGGGGTGGGAAGGATGCAGGGATAAATTAGACACAGTCCCTGGCTCTAAGAAGCTTACATTTTAGCAGGGTAGACAAGTTTCCAAACAATAACTCAAGTTTTAATCAGATTTTTAGTCAACAGAAAACTCTATGATAGTGTAAAAGATGCCATCTACTCTACTGAGAGAAAATGAGAGATAATTAAGTGAGTAAGATTTGGGAAGGGAGATAATTAAAGGATCAAAAAATATTTCAGGTAGAACGGAGTGCCTGAACTCTAGCCAGAAGGTAAGACTTTCCATGTGCTGTTTGGGGGGACAATTCTGGGCATGAGCACAGTAAAGAATTTGAAGAGGGGTGTTCTTGGGGTGTGCTAAAAGGGAGGGTGAGAGAAGAGCATCCTGGCAGTCACCAGACTGGATACTAGATACATCTTGGTGACTCTATTTTCCTAGGGCTACAACAAATTTAATCTGAAAGCCTCAGTGAGTGAATACGGAGGGAGAAACTTAAAAATGGGCATATAACATTATCTGGGGGAGGACAGTAAGGAAGAATTCTTTCCTCCCTTTCTCTTCTAATTATTTCCAGTACGCTAATTGTAGGTCACTATTATGCTAAACTTTAAAGATACAGAGCGGACTGGGGCACAGGCTCTGAACCCACTCCCACGCCCTCTACAAAACTTACAGTCTGGTGATGGACCCACATAGGAAAGAACAGGAACAAGATCTATGACTTAGGGAAACACAGAGGCTTGGAGAGCAGGAAAGACCCCTTAACTTGATTGACCCCTGCTGGGGGTGGTGAGCAAGGCTGCCCAGGAAGAGGGACTAGGCAGAAAAGGGCCTCTGGTCTCCAAATAAAGGGGGGAAAAGACCTTTCAAAGGGGAGGAAATGGCCCATGAATGGGATGAGGCTTAGGCAGCAGAGGGCAGGGCACCCTCAGGGAACCACAGGTATTGGTCTAACTGGAGCCCTGGGCAGGAGCAGAGAGGGGCAGAAGGTGGCCTGAGTGTGGTTTGATTGAGATAATTAATGAATATGGCGCCTGGGCTAGCACTGCTGGAGTAGAGCACCAGAGACTGTTGTTAGGAAGAATGATTAAAGCCTTGCTGCTGCACACGGCGGTCCTTGGGCCAGCTTGATTAGAAATGCAGCATCTTTGGGGCCACTCTGGGCATGCACACTGGAGGAGCAACTGCTGAGAGCGCAGGCTCCTGAGATTGATGCCGGGCTCTGCTCTGGGGCTTTGTCCTCTCATCTTCTACTCTGATGGATATTCAGGGACAAAGTTGAGAAGTCAACCAGGAGATTCTAGTAAGGCGTGTGCACACATGTGCGCATATCTCTGTGTGTTTGAATCCAGGAAATATTGATGGGAGAACTAATCATTTTCAAAACTTGCTAAATTCTACCTGCTCCCTGCATGACCCACAGTTTGGGATTACACCCTTAAGCCTGCACCTAAGATGTACAGAGACCATGGATATGCCCCCTGAAGGCATACTAGCACTTGGGGGCCAGAAGGGGAGCCGCCCAGACCCTGGCCACTCTGCCTAGTGGACACTTCATTTAATCCCAATGGCAGGTTTGTGGGTCAGATATTATTTTCATGCTTTGGTACTCAGAGAGAGGAGAGTATCTTGCAATATAATACCCAGATAATTTTACCCCATGATCCACAACAAATAAGTTCTGGAGACCTAATGCCCAGCATGATGAACACAGTTCCCGATGTTGTTTCCTATACTTGAAAGGTGCTAAGAGTAAAGATCTTAAATGTTATCTCACACTCTCACACACACACACACAGATAATTGCATGAGGCGATGGAGGTGTTAATGAACCTTATCACAGTAATTATTTCACACCATATAAGTGTCTCAAATCATCATGTCTCAAATCACCTCAAACTTGCACAATATTATAGATACATATGTAACATGTATCTGTAAAGCTCTATCTGTCTATGTCAACTATATTTCAGTAAAGCTGGACAATGATAAAGCTCATCCAGCTAGTCAGGGGTAGACAAGATCTGGTGCAGGGCTCCCTGATGAGTCAGTCACTCTGCTTTGCTTAGATTGAACTAGGTGTTCTCTGAGGTCCTTCCTAATGCGCACAGAGTTGAGCCTCCAGTTAGGTGGATGGCCCTTCATGTAAAGCCCTTTGTCAACAGCCCTGTAGCCATGACTGGTCAGGCAGAGTGCAGACCGTCCTCCCACACCCACCATCCGCGCCACATCCACTCCAAGCCCCGCCCCAAGGCTCACCTGTTTCTGGATCACAGAGCTGTTCACAGGCATCTGTAGTCCTCTGTCCACACAGGTCCCTCACCCAGGGGGAGGTGGCGTTGATCTGGTAATACAGGGACAGCTTGGCTGGATTTAACCAGTCGGAGATGTCCAGGTAACTCCCTTCACTCACTACGAAGCTGCTCCCTGTAAAGGAACACAGACCAATACAGCTACTTTCTCTCTGATTTTAGGATATGAACATGTCTCACTGCTGACTCTACAGGCCAGAAATACATTCAGGTGCAGACAAGCCACTCCCACCCCACGTGGGCCCCACCAATTGTCTACACACCTCCACTAAACATTTACATTGTGCCTGTCATGGTGTCAGTGGTCCAGAGACAGATTCGACAGACACACGGTTCAGGCTAGTGATTAAGAGCCAGGCCCTTAAAACTGAGAGACTTAGGCTCAAATCTCAGATCCACCCATACACGCCATTGACTCTGGGCAAGGCACTCAATACCTCTGGGCCTTGGGTAAATCATCTGGGAATGGGAATATTAACGGACACCTCCTTGTAGGGGTGTAGTGAGAATAAATGAATGTCAAGTACTTAGCTATTGCCTGGCTTGTACTAGTACAGAATGATCAAATATTAAAATTTAAAGGATTAAAAAAAGAAGCTAATGTCTCTGTCACCCAGAGAATCCTTCATGCTAAAGGGGTTCACTAGGGCCCATAGGCGTCATGTAGCTGATGTCAAGGTGGTAGACTGGCTGAGTGTAAGGAAAAGAACATCGTGGTCCTGGCCTTGATGGCTGTGTTTTGAGCAAGACAGAAAGTATTGGGGTAATTGAAGTGCCTTGATAATGGGAAACAATAGAGAAAGAGGGAGTTTGGGGTCAACGGGATGTTCTATCAAATGGGGCCACAGCTACCCCAAGTCTGCTTTTGCCCAACGGATGTAAGGGTCACTGGTGCCAGATCTTTAGATTTTCTTCAGGAGAGGCCAGATACTCAGATCTTTTGTTGTCATCAACCAATTTTCAAGTGGTAGCTGAATTTGCTTTTGTAAGTTTGTGTAGGCCAAACAAAAGATCCTAGTTTTGCAATCTGTGCTCGAAAATGTTCCTTTTTCATGCATGCGCACGTCTGTGTGTGTGTTAACTATATACATATACATACACACACACAAATATATACATGCATTTGTACTGATATTCTTTGGTGGGCACAAAATAAAAATCCATCACAGGATGCTGCATCCTGGGTGATAATGGAGAGTGTATATATGCAGCAATGGAGCCAATCTATAATTTTCGAGGGGACAATAGGACCCAGCTCACAAAACCAGAATTGGGGAAGAGTTCCAGATTCATCTCAAATCTAGGGTCTTCAGAAACATCTTAAATTATCTCATAATTAATATAACTCAGTCTCTCTCCCTGAAATTGCTTCTCTCTTCCTCATCATCAGCCAACAAAACATTTCCATGCATGCAAAGGGCCCAAGGTGGTCCACTGGGTCGTGGTCAAGGAGGTGTGAGGTCACGTCACAATACCTGGCTGCCTGAATGTGGTGGGTTCCCTGAAAAGGAGGGGCATGTAGCAGGCAGTGCTTGTTTTTCTGACTCACATAATGGCTATGACTGATACCCCACAGTACTAGTTCCCAGGTAAAAGCACAGTAGACAATATGAGTTTTGGTGAAGATTAGAGAGGAATTTCTGTGAAACAGAAGGGGTAGAAGCATCAATCTCAGAGATAAGGAAATGACCACATTTGAAGTTGGCCTTAAAATCCTTGCCAGCTAAAGCAAAAAAAAGAAGAAGTCTGCTGGATTCCATATTTCAAATTTCTGGCAGGGGAAGTTATGCAAATCTATCTGCAAAGCCATATTTCCCCCTCTGGAACGAAGCCCAAGCTGAAACATGTCACATGGGACCTTGTGCAAGGCACCGAGCCTCAGTATCAACTACAGATTTTTCTTTTAAAAAGCACAGTCATGCTGTTTAAGTGGATAATTCCTGTATTTATTCTCACTAAAGACTGAAGGATGGATATTGAATTGTGTCCCAGGGCTGAGTGAGTTTGGCTAATCCCAGTACTTTAGGAAAACTACACAGCGCAGTGACAAAGAGAATAGAGTCAGCAAGACAAGGATTCATATCATCACTGTGCTCCTTACCAGAATTTAGACAAGAAAACAAACCCCTAGCAATCTCCTCTGAAAACTCTAGATACCAATTATCCCATCGTGGTGCTAATATAAAGGTAAAATGAGACAATACATTTATCTTAGTTCAGGTTGACCAGAAATCTGGTTCAAAGGCAGAGACTGGCTTGCAACATGGTGCCGGGATGTCCTTCAGAGTTGTTCTCAATCAAGACAAGGGTGTCAGACATTTGTACCTCAGGTACAAAGTCATTGGCTTTGGGTCTGCCTGGGGAAGGGCTATCAGCTGGATGAGGTGGTCCCCTTTGATAAAGGACATTTTCCAAGAAAGGCTCAGAGCCAGAGATCGACCACCAACATTCTTGGCAAGTGGGGAAAATAGTTACTAGGGTATAACGAGGTAGCTGGTCACACACTCTAACATCCACTACGGAATGTGAAATGCCAACTTATAGGAGCTATTTTGGATTACTCTGGATTGTTTGCAAACTTGGAAGCACTGAATATAATACCAATTAAGACATTTCTTTTAAATAGGAAAAAAATGAGTCTTGTTGAAAAAGACTAACTCAAATAAGATTATAAACCCCTCTTTTATTTTTTTAATTAATATCAAAATTTATTTTTACATCACCTGTGCCTTTTCCCAATTCGGTTGCAATCCCCATGGGCTTCCCACCACTAATTCACCCGTGTGCCATCACCACAGTGCAGTGTGCTTCCCCCTCCCCATTTCTGATCCCTTTCCCCACTCCATTTCCTGTAAAATGTCTCTGGTATATAATTGCTCATTATTATTAGTATTTTCTCACCTGATCCTTTATATTCCTATGAGTGAAACCATCCAGTATCTTTCCTTTTCTTTCTGGCTTATTTCGCTAAGCATGATCACTTCCAGCTCCATCCATATTGCTACAAAGGGCATGTGTTTATCTGTTTTGGTTGCTAAGTAATAATCCATTGTGTATACTTATCACATTTTTTTAAGTCCAGTCATCTACTTTTTAGGCATTTGGGTTGATTCCATGTCTTCCCTATTGTAAATAAATCACCAATAAACATGGGGGTGCAATTTACAGTTGGAAAAACATGGAAGCAGCCCAAATGCCCAAAAGTAGATGACTGGATAAAAAAGATGTGGTACATATATACAATGGAATATTACTCAGTAACCAAAAAAGAGAAACACATGTCTTTTCAGCAACTTGGATGGAGCTGGAAAAGATCATGCTTAATGAGATAAGCCAGAAAGAGAAAGAAAAATACCGGATGGTTTCACTCATAGCAGGAGTATAATGGACCAGGCAAGAAAATAACAAGAATAATGAACAACCATATACCAGAGACATTTTGTGGGGGTGGAGTGGGGAATGGGATCAAAAATGGGGGGGGTGAGGAGGGAAGTGCACAGGATTATGGTGATGGCACACGGGTGACTTGGTGATGGGAAACCCATGGGGGTTACAATTGAAATGGGGAAAAAATGTATAAAATGATGAAAAAATAAACTGTTATAAATATATGCATACATACATACATACATAAAAACATGGGGGTGAAGTTGTCTTTTTGAATCAGTGTTTTTGTGTCTTTTGGGTAGATACCTAGGAGTGGGATTGCTGGGTCATATGGAAGCTCCATTTTTAGCAGTTTGAGAAAAACTCCAAACAGTTTTCCATAGTGGTTGTACTAGTTTGCATTTCCATCAGCAGTGCAGGAGAGTTCCTTTTTCTTCACATCCTCGTGAACATTTGTTGTTGCTAGTTGTTTTAAGATGTGCCATTCTCATTGGTGTGAGGTGGTATCTCATTGTGGTATGACTCCCTCTTTTTAAGACACCATACACTTCTGGTTTAATGACAGAAGGTATCTAGCCTTTGAGTGCCCTCTCTGCACTTTTGCATATATTTGCTCACTTCCTCTTTACAAGAGCCTTACAGGATTTGTATTGCTTCCATTTCATAGAAGGACAAACTGAAGTTCAGAGAGAAATTGCCTTACTCAAATTTGTGCCACTAGTTGGTTGCCAAAGGAGAAAGTGAGTTCACATCTGAGCCTGGCCCATTATTTCAGGTAGCCTTGGTTGGGTATGAGGCAAGAGTTGCCTTCTTCCACTCCTTCCCCAGATGACTGTGCATTCCTGTTAGTGCCTGCCCTGGAGGGGCTTCTGCTTCTTCTGATGAGTTAACACCTCATTCATTAGTCCTTGTCAATCAAGCCCTCCATAAAATGCCTAGAACATATAAGGAGCTTAGTCAATGTCTGTTGAGTGAATTAATGCAATCAAAGTTCCACCCTTGACTAGAGGGAAGTTCGACTCACTTGATCCTGGGTCTGGGAAGCAGGAAAGCCTCCACATTGATTCTAACTTTTCATTTTGTTCATCCTGTGATAGCCAGCATATAAGATGATCTCTTCAGAGTCTTTGCTTCTCAACTGAAACTTGAACATCACTGCCTTCTGAGCACTCTTTTGCCCCATGGGCTTGTGATGGGGATGATTAAAGCAGGGATGCAGAAGGGACTCATTGGGGGAGCAAGGATATGTGGTAGGGAGATGCCCCATCAGACAGTAGAACAAAGTCAGTATAATAGGTAATCAACAGAACTAAATGTACATGTTCATTTAGCGACATTTATTCAATCCCTTCTTGCATAAGAAATAGACATAGGGGATTACAACTGAGATGGAAAAATGCACAAAATGATGTAAAAATTTTAAAAAATGCAAAAAAGAGAGAAATAGACATTGGGAATGAAGCTGAATCCATCATGAAAATTATGCATTAACAAAGGAGATAATATGCATGGAGAGATAACTATAACACACATAAAAGTGCAGAGAACTGCCTGAAAGGGAAGGACATTGCCTTTGAATATAAGGAGAAGAAAAAAGGGAGGGGGGTTCTGAGTGGAATCAAGAAATTATTGGCCTTAAGCTAGATTGTCTGAAGTGATGTAAGTAATATTAGTTCACTGTTTTAGGTGTAAAGGTCACACCTCTTCAAATGTACAGGACCATGCTTT